CAAAAGCAACTAGTGTACATTGAGTACAATTAGTTGATTGGGTAGTATTTTGAATCCTATATCCATTTGAAATCTGTTGATTGACACACACCCTGTACTCATGGTTACCATAGAAACAACTTATTGAGAGGATTATTAAGCTGCATCCATCAAATCAAAAAGGTTTAATTCTTCCATCAAAAACAGGTTGTTGTGGTTATGTGAATCAAAGCTTAGTGTCTAATAATATAATAATAATATAACAATGTGTTTATTGTATAATGTGTATCATAATTTATTGAATCACTTTATTCTAATATACATTTTATGTTATTGTTTAGCGGTTCAGATCCTCATTTATTCTGGCTAAATCTTATCTGGAGAGTCCCAGTCTCATGTGAGAGGCTGAAATCCCCCTGCCAGCAAGGCCTGCGCTAAATTACTTTTTTCTTCTGTTAATGAAGGTCAGCAGAGAGTCACATCTTTCCTTTTGTGATAATTTATCCCTATCTCCTGTTATCTCTTTTGCCCCTTTAATCCTAATTGTATTGTATAATTGTGTGATGTGGACCTGGTGGTCTTTGAAGTATTGCCCCTATCCTTTCATTATTACCTGATGCCTTCAACCTTTGTTCATTTTTTCCTGCTCTGCTCTGTGCCGTACAGTGTTGCAGAATAAAAGAGAGGACAGCTTAAGTTTAGCGTTTTAAAAGATTGTATTCAAGTCTAATTGTACTATCTGACTGAGAAATTGTAACCTGAATGATATGAGATATATGAATATTTTCTGTAATATGCCTCATGTTCTCACATAGCGCTCATTGCTGTTTTGATTGCTTTTCAGTGTTAATGAATGGCACTTGGAAGCGGATAATGCAAAAAGATCTACGGTATTATGAGCTGAATATTAGTTTCAGAATGATTCTCAAATGGCTGAAAGAAAGCCTTTTCGTGTGCTTAACAGTGTCAAAATAATGATATGCAATTCAACCGTATGTACAGTATATACATGTATATGTGTGTACATACATGAACACCCAGTACCATGTTTATATGAAAATTATTCACGTCATTATTGTTGGAAAAACAGACTGTACCTGATTAATGGTGATTTTATCAAAATAAACATTTTCTGATAGAGGAATCACAAGATGTCTCCCGATGGCACCATGCTGATTCATTCAATGTTCGAGTGACTCAAAATGAATATTATTATTACTGTAAATGCTTTTTGGAAAAACTTTGAGTAAAGCAGTAAATAAGTGAATTCATGGTCAGTTAAAATCATTGGGGCACATGTACATTTGCTATTTCCAATGGGAACTCAGTCTACATAGTGAAGATTTCAATGTGGGGAATAGTATGTGCTCATGTTAGCAAAACATGGGACTGGCAAAATGCCAATATACCTGTCCTTCATACAGAAAGTACATCACTTCTTTAACAAGTGATCCAGTATTATCATGGCATCATTTCGCATATAAAGTCATCCATGCTTCAGTTCATCTTGTGAATAATGATCATACACAATAATGCTATAAGATACTGAATAAGAGGCACTAGCTTATTTTCTTTACTGAATCCTTTCTGATGAGTGACAGACAGTTGGTTATTTTTTGACAACATACAAATGTGTTTATTGTAATACGTAGTGCCATGATGTATTAGTTCCAAACGTGGTTTAACAGTAGTTCTTCCACACTGTGAAATAAATAGGCTTAAAACATTGTGCTGGGGAAAAAGTTAGGAAAGTTATGAGACTATTTGAGTCTTTCTAATATTTGACTTTTTTACACAGAACCATCACTAAATAGGATGGAAATACAATAAAAGGCATTGAAATGTCAGAGCCCAGCCTTTAAGAGTTTGTGAGTGAGGAGCAGCAGAAACCCTCTTACCCTCAGCACCATGGACAGTTCCGGTGCAGCTTACCTCCTGCACGCGCTGCCCGGTAACAGGCTCTGTGTCAGGCCGCTGTTTACCGCGAGAAGGACGGACATGTGTCCTTAGATAATCTGTGTGTGTGTGTGTGTGTGTGTGTGTGTGTGTGTGTGTGTGTGTGTGTGTGTGTGTGTGTGTGTGTGTGTGTGTGTGTGTGTGTGTGTGTGTGTGTGTGTGTGTGTGTGTGTGTGTGTGTGTGTGTGTGTGTGTGTGTGTGTGTGTGGTGTGTGTGTGTGTGTGTGTGTGTGTGTGTGTGTGTGTGTGTTGTGTGTGTGTGTGTGTGTGTGTGTGTGTGTGTGTGTGTGTGTGTCGCTTATAATTAGATTTTATTAAATAAATACTTTGGAGAAAAATGTACCAGTCTTTTATCACAATACTAACTGATTGCTTTCCTAACAACACTGTTTTCCAAAATAAATATTTAAAGACATGATTTACAGACTATATTGGATATATTACATTATTAATAATGGATTCATTTGATTTACTGTTTGTTGTAACAAAAAAATGCTTTCACATCCTTTCCAAATCTCTAAAATTTGGAGACCGAGAGAAGTTGTATTCATGGAGACGCGCACCACAACTACTTTATTGTTTAAGTGTATTTTGATTGCTTTTAAATCTCAGACAGTAAACTGTATTAAATATAGTAAAGATTACATTTGAGAAAAAAACCCTGATGAGAAACTGCCGATGGAAAACAAATATCATCTCCATCCTTGAATTAAAACCTATTGCATTTCTCATTATCCCGATAAATTGTCGAGGGAACTTAGAGGCGCGTGCGTTTATTAGACAATCAGTTTTTGAATAAGAAACATATATAGCCTCCCCCTCGTGAGTGGGAGGCTCAGCCCCTAAAATAATTCCCTGTTATCTAATTCATTGATCTGAAATGAAGCTGAGCCGCTGCACGTATGGCCGCCTAAACGCTGCCCGGTGAATGACAGACGCGCTGTTCCGGGGAAGATAGCACAGCATCATTTCAAACTTCAAAATGCGCCGGAATAAACAGTCCGAACATGCAGTATACCTCATAGAAGCTGATGGACATCACAGCCTGCAGATTGGGAGGATTTGAGGATCTGTTTCTCTTTGCAGGCATCCGGTCCGCCCGTGTGAGAAAAATAGAAACTCGGGGGCGTCCTCCGCTGGGGGGGCATTGTTCTGCGGGTCAGGGCGAGGAGGATTTTCCTCCCAATAACCTGCATTTTTAAACATAATTTCAGGGTTTGTAAAGGCAGATATGATGGAAATGTTCTTGTTAGAAGCCGATTGACGCATGCGTGTGTGAGGAGCCGGGGGAGAGAGCGTGAGAAAAAGACGCAGATCAGCCTCAAGAAGGAATACCAGAACAGAAAAATAACCCATAATAACTGATTCTGGGTACAAAAATAAAGTGACTTTGGCCAGAATGAGACCGTATTTTGTACCTGTTTTACAGAATACAAATATTTATTTATACTAAAAATATTTTGCCCATAAACGTATTTAAATGCAATACTTTTGCCTGTCCGTAATTTTTTTATTAAGCATTTTATTTATATTGGTCACAATATATTAGCTTGACATTGTGATGTGGAGACATGTGAAAGAGAGAATCTCCTTTGAAGTGGCCTGTTTGTGACACACACACACACTCACACACACAAGATGATGATGGCAATAGGATGTGATCCACAAAACATCCGCGTGTGGGCATACGTGTGCGCGCGGGTAGAAATATATATATAGCCATGTATGAGAAGACAACCTTAAATAAATCTACTTAGCAGTGTAACTAACAAGACACGACTCTGCTCCGATCACAGCAATTCAGTATGAACACTCATGTGTGTGTGTGTGCTTTAATAATCACAGCTGAAGGAATCATATATCACGCGCATTAGCCCGAGGGCTATTAGGCAATGGTCGTCAGTGAAATTTGCATATTAAAACGATCCCTCTGCCTCCTTAAAACCACACTGTCAGCCTGATGTGAGCTAATGCAACAATTAGAGGCTCACAATGGCGCGTTTCTCAGCGTTTACACTTGATGTAATATTTCCTGCTGTTTGTAATTCTGTCACTGACACAGCTCAGCTCCGTGGGGTCAACATTGATTTTTACAATGAAGGAGATGCTACTTTATGTGAGTTATTGGGACATCTTCAGAGTGAAATGTTTGGAAAAACAGATAATGGAAAAAATTAAATATGAAATTAAATGTGATATGCCTTCATCCTCCAATACTGAGCCCATTCACACTGGGTGTTTAGAGACCACCCTGAAGAGGAAAGGGTTAAGCGTCTTTGAGAAACACAGGGGGCTGCTATTATGTATTATAATATATATATATATATATATATATATATATATATATATATATATATATATATATATATATATATATATATATATTAATATGGGAGGGAATAGGATTTTCATGGAAAAACGCTTTAAAATGATTATTATTGTTGTTGTTATTATTATTATTATTATTATTATTATTTGTATTATTATTATTATATAGTATTATTTTACTATGTATACTATTGCTTTTTCTACGACTGCTAACAAATACTACAATAATAATAATAATGTTTTTAAAGTTACATCCCCTCCTTGACTTAAAAAGCATCAACATAGATATAAATAATAACTCCATATAGTAAATAATAACTATTAAGGCCTATCTATATGTATTTCAGCGACAAGCCTTATATATATAAATATCTTTTTACTGTAAAGCTTTAAATTGTGTGCACGGTGCAATCACCTCTGGATAGAAGTCAGGTTTTAACTGGAAAGAGGTTGAAGGTCCATGTTTGTTGCGATTCATTACATTAAATGGAATCGCGGAGGGATCCTGAGTATTACTCCCTCCACAGACACGCACACACCCCTCTTTCCTTATTTCTTTCTTCTTCTACTACCACCCGCTCTTTGTTTATGTTGTAATGTACATATATTTCCGTGGAGGTATTATAATAGGCGCTCTGCGTGCTGATTGGCGCGCAGGTTGCAGAGTGAACGCCCTGCAGATTATGTCAGATTGCGTGCAGAAACCAAACCAGCCCAGCCTTTGAACTTCACCGCTTTTGGCTCGTATTCACGCTCTTCCGCTCATTTCCAACCAGGTGCCTGCCGACAGACCTCAGAGAGAGAGAGAGGAAGAGTGTGTCGCAGGGAAAAAAATAACACTTTTTACGACTCCTGCAAGCTGACTGCGGAACATTGCTTTCACCTTTGTGGATTTCTTTACGTGTGTGCATCTTACATGTATTTTTTCTGTGTATTGCCTGCTGCAGGTCTGAAAGAGACTTGTATCCGGACTTGAACGAAGGCGCATCAGTGTTTTAACTCTGGAAGAAGCAACACGGCCGCTGGATTTTTATTTTATTCTCTTTTATTTTTGCTCTTTTCCACACTCAGAACATCCCAGACGGGGCATGACTGGTATCTGGCATCGACACAGGTGAATAGTTTCCCTTGCTTGCGATAAGAACTTTTCCTCGTCATTAACATTGGGGATAAAAAGTACACTTTTTAAAGATGTCAAAGCCTGCTGACCACATCAAGAGACCCATGAACGCGTTCATGGTTTGGTCCCGGGGCCAGAGGAGAAAAATGGCCCAGGAGAACCCCAAAATGCACAACTCTGAGATCAGCAAGAGACTGGGCGCCGAGTGGAAGCTGCTGTCCGAGTCCGAGAAGAGACCGTACATCGACGAGGCTAAGCGGCTGCGCGCCCAGCACATGAAGGAGCACCCCGACTACAAGTACCGGCCCCGGCGCAAGCCCAAGAACCTGCTGAAGAAGGACAGGTACGTTTTCCCGCTGCCTTACCTCGGGGACACCGATCACTTGAAGGGACTCCCGATGTCCGCCGAGTCCCTGTTGTGCCACGAGAAAGCCCGAGCCTTCCTGCCGCCGACCTCCCCGTACTCCTTCCTTGACCCCAGCCAGTTCACCTCCAGCGCCCTCCAGAAGATGACGGAGATGCCCCACGGGCTGAGCGCTAGCTCTTTGCCGTACGCTTCCTCTTTGGGATACCAGAACGGCGCGTTCGGCACCCTTGGGTGTCCCAGCCAGCACACCCACACCCACCCATCGCCCACTAACCCGGGCTACGTGGTCCCGTGTAACTGCACGGCCTGGTCCACGTCCAGTTTACAGCCCCCGGTGGCCTACATACTTTTTCCAGGTATGACCAAGACTGGGCTAGATCCATATTCATCCGCACACGCCACTGCCATGTAACCCTCAAGACTCTTTATTTCTTTTCTATTCACTTGAATACTGAAATGCATGTAAATATATTATGGACAGCGCGCCCATTCAAAGGCATGAACAGTATTAACTGCCTTGGACTTGTTATGGCAAAAAAAGAGAAAAAACCTAACTTTTCCAGAAACCGAACAAGTTCCTGAGCTGAGCAGAAGAGCTGCTGCAGAGGACCCTGGGAACTGTAAGAAATGTAAATGTTATAACGTGTATGGCAACCAGAAAAAGGGAGGCCTTTAACTTTATTTATTGTGTACATTTCAATGCTGATATGCTGATTTGTGTTGATTATTGATAGGGAACTCTTTTATTTTGGAAAATTTGGCTTGCGCAATTAGCATTCTTATTTCCTGTATAGGCCTAACTATAGTCTGCGTTTTTGGCACTCGTAATTTTATGATGTTCTGGATTATAGGGTCAAAATCAGGACCTATAGGCTGGATTATATACGGGTCATATTGTTTATATTTATCAAAAACTGGCACATTAAACTAGACGGTCTATTTAAGATGACAAAAAGAAAAAACATCCAAATGTTTTATTTTGCATTTTTCCTGTGGTTCAGTGCTAATATAGTCACTCGCGTCATTTTTAGTTTTGTCTTCGTTTTTTAATCAGGATAACTTCTATTTGAATTCAAGGAGTTAAATGTGTATTATCATCTAAGATGGTAATTTAAAACCTGTCATGTTATGGAAAAGATAATGTATCTTGAAGGTTGATACCTCCTGCTCTTTGTTCAATTGCTGAGCAAAGGCGTTTCGAAATAAAGACAATCTGTCTTCAACGCTATCAATGTCCTGTATTTGTAGCTTATTATTGGGTACTTGAGATGACAGAGATAGTGGAATGCTGTGTAGGTGCTGCGGGGAAGGAAACTTGGCAAGGCCTCATTAAATATAATTCAAATTAGGAACAAAATATAATGTTATTTTTTAAACGCTTGGAATAAAAAAAAATTGATTTATCATAAAAATACAGTCAGAAATAAATAAAACAATTCCTAGATTGTTTTTTACATTTCAAATGGAAGACCCACCTTGACCCTAACTAATCATAGTCTAAAGACAGAACAATAACATCAAAATCAATTGTCTGTTTTTCTTCTTCTTGTTTCTGTTTAAGCTGTCAGACTCCTTCAGCTTTCTTTGCTCCGTCTGGCTGCAGCTGTGTGTAGATGATGGAACAGGTTTGAGGCAGGAAGGTGTTTCTGTGACTCTCAGATGAACCGACTGTTTGAAGTTTGACGGTTCCGCGGAGGCCTCCCTGAGGGATCCCGCCCGTCCGACCTGTCTGACTGCTTAATCACTTCTCTTAATTATAGCTTTAACTAATGGAACAAACTCAATGATGGGATTTTTTCCTTCCCTTTTGTAGCGTGCTGGCTTGCTCCCACCACTAAACTGCGGTTTAAATGTCTCTGTTTACTGTTTAAAAAAGAAAAAGGTGCTGCAGCCCGCTAAAGCCTTTTATCCCCAAGTCATTCACACGAGTTAAAACCTGTTTAAACTTGTGAGTGATATCGGTCTGACTCCCATTAAGACAATACTGAATGGAAAAAGCTTACAGTATGAATTATACAAGCATTTACAGATTTTAAATGTATTTTTCTGTCAATGCAGATCAGGATTTGCGCACCGCGGTGTATCCTCATATTAAACGAATGTGTAGTATTAATTAAAAATGTCATTCCACATCCAAATTGTTTACTTATCTGCCAGGAACATATGCTGGAGAAGTTCAGATTCAGGATTCTGCACTATTGCCCAAGGTGCAATTCAATCCTGGGGAGGAAGAAGGGGGGAGATATTTTGATGACAGACTTAGTCCTTATCTACGGCTGTAAATTAGGGTGATACTTCATTGAACCGAATGTGAAGTTTTACATCAAACCCCTAAAGCATCCTAATTCAACTTTGAAATTAGACAATTATAATTACTTTGAGGAGCAGCAGCAGACCGATATATATTTTTCCCGCAAAGAAAATGAGGCGAATAACCTTGCTCTTGTTTTAAATCACTTTATATTTTCTACATTTTAAAAGAAAGTTTTGCCGCGTGCACTCAATACCTGTAATTATCCAACTTAGTCACGGAAATTGACTGTGGTTACTTACATCGCCCTGGAATAAATAACCCTAACGATAAACGCGCATGTGAGAGGTATAATGGGAGGGAAATTATGATTTGAAATTATAGGGAGGCTTTTAAATCTCTCTTTAACTCTTCCTCCCCCCTTGACGTTTTTATTGGAGCACAACAGAGGAGAATTCAATCTGCCTTATCTCTCCAGGACTCCTTTCAGCGCCAGATCAGAGAGAAAGGAGAGGATAATTGTTCTTTATTTGATTTAATTCAGGTCATTTATATGCTTCATTTGGTGATACAAGTCAACGAGGAGGGGGACATCACGCGCCCTTTACTTCTCTGCACAACACTTCAAGTCCACAAAATATTAAATAGATGAAATAAAAATAGCGGAAAGAGGAGGAGGAGGGGGGCAGGACATTTTTAATTAAAAGCCATGGGTCATTTACGTTATTGTCTTTTCGTTTGACCCTGAAATCATCTTCAGTAAATGGACTTTGATAAGTAGCTGTTGAGAATGTGATTTTGTATTTAGGCGTACTAATGTCCTAAATGAAAAGGAGGAGAAAGTCCCCTCGAGGAGAGGTTGGAGAAAAACACCATTGATGATCCTGATGAGAGTGTTGGAAGAGAGATGATTATAAGGCACACAGGCGAGCTTATCATGCGTTTGTGTCAACGCGAGATCTGACACAAATATATATTGAGAAATTATTTTGGGGAGGGATAAAAACTGATCTAATTTCAGCATATTAAATATTGTCTCGGAAAGACCAAAAATCATCACTGGCTAAATCCTTAGTCTATCTGAAATTGAATCTGGGATAGCATTCTGACGGGAGGAAAAGTAAAACCGTGCAGTTGTTGTTTGAAGGCGCGGGGGCTTGAATTTGGGTCCCTGAATTCTCATCTGAAAGAAATGAAATGGTGAACGAGCTGATAAAGAAGAGAGGAGCGCGTGAGCTGAGAGAAAAGGAATCATGCCACGGTGCGTTTAATGTGCGCTGCCAGTCGGAAAAGTGATTTACACCGAGACTTTATTCCCCTGACACATATAAGACAGACTCTGCTTTATTTATCGGACACGCACACGCTCACGCATGCACGCGCGGTCCTCTATACGGTCAACCCTCTGGAGTTCATCGCATGCAGATATTAAAGCAAAAAATACAACATGCAACACTCAGAGCAGAGCTGTGTGTGCAGCGGACAGAGAGCTATGTGCAGTCTAATGAAAATGACTTTGTTTTATTTGCTAATCAATCGATTTGTGCACGTGTGCTTCCCTGCACATGTCCAGGCCTTGAATCTCCAGTCTGGTGTTTGGTGCCGCTCTCAAACAACACATGCTATAGTTCTCTTTTTAAATTCATATCTATACAGATCTAATGCTAAAATATTTTAGAATATTTTAATCATTTTATTTATTTGACAATTAAATAAGTATTTGTAATCATATTTTGATCATTATTTATTTAATAAATTATCTAAGCAACTTTAAGTAATCGACTTGTTGTAAAATCTGCATATTCAGACATCATCAGGCTCTAGCCATTATGGATCAAATGAAAAAAAAAAATCATAATTTTGATGTTGTCCCCTTACTCACATTGTTACAGAAAGCCAATGGGTTGAATCAGTTTATTGTCACTCACTCATGTCACATGTTTGGTTCAATTTGAAGTCACATGACCCACACATTGCCAAGAATCCTGAGCAGAAACATCCGCACTCTTCTAAACTAACGCCCCAAATCTCTCTTATGAACCTTCAGAATCAAGATGCTAAATATCCCTTTCAGTTAAACCAAAGGACTCATTTCAATTGTTTTCAAAGACACAAAGTAATAAACTTATCTAGTAAATGAAATAAATGTCTGAAAAAAAACGTTTTAACAGAATTTTTCTTTTTTTCCCCTTGCGACCCTTCCGATTTAGGTGCACTCCTTAGGGGTCTCGACCCCCAGTATGGGAACCACTCTACATATCCCAAATGCCTTATACATTTAACGGCAAGGTTAACACAGTATTCCCATGCATCCTGCCTCAAACACAGTACTTATTTTGAAATGTTTGGACATATTTCAGTCTCAGAAGCTGCTTGTGACTGTTACATTTCTTCATGCATATGTATTATTATATTATGCATGTCCTGCCTGCTCAGACACCTCCCATACATTACAAATGCCTGTCATAATTTACAGTATGCATCGGCGTGTGAGACCCACAGTTTGTGTGTGTGTGTTAATGTGTGTGTGTTATACTTTTGAGTTATTGTTCTCTGTCTTTGTTGCTCATGCACTCTCTGAATATCCATGCAGTATAAACTTTCCATACATCAAATCCTGCGGACGAAGGAGTTTTGCGTTTGCTGATTAATACTCAGGATTCTTAGGCATCAAGTTTTATTTATTTTGTCATACATGCATCTGCTGCATTTGTATGGCACAGATAAAAAAAAGAAGCTAAATGCTGGGCATGGGTATATGAGGTGTCATAAAGTTACTCAGTGATTCTTCAAACTGACTGATTGTCTTAGGTGAATTATAGAATTCTTATTAAAGTCTTGTTGGTGTACAGTATTTGATGTGATATTAAAAAAAATTGCAGACCTGCACTTATTGATTAACATTTTGATTCCATATTATTTCAATCGGTTTATGACAATAAGACATTTATACTAAGTCAGAGGAGCTCAAATCTCGGAGGAAGTTTCAGAAGGTCAACATCATAGAGATAAAACTTCACATGACCACCCACTATTTAATTATGCTTTGATAAACAACGTTTTCTTTCCTAAGAAAATGTGTTACATTGATTTATTTTCTTTATATGATATATGTAGGATCCTTTTGAATATAAATGTAGGTGATCCTCTGATGAAGATATGTATCCCTGTAGCTGTACAATGCTGTAATCATCTGTAAGTGTCTCGGTACAGAATGAGCGCACAGGTAATGTCTTAACAATCTCTTCAACAAGTTTACAAAATACCTCTAAATGATGTCTCATACCAGAGGACACTTCCTGCTTAAAATCGAGTGCACGAGGGTGAATGCTGAGTAAAAAGATGAGTATGATCAGATTGCATCATTTGTGTCCATAGTGGCTGATGTGAAGCCCACCCTAATTCCACTTGTATTAAACCCACTGTGCACGGCCACAGTTAGCATTGAGGTCATGGCCCTGCTAATATTCGTGTTTATTGGATACTGGATTTAAAAACTGAAAAGGAATTTACATTCTATGATTGAACTACTCATGCTCATTGTCAAGTTTTTGAAGGCAATTTCTATAAATAAATGCTAAAACGGTAACAAAATAAACTTTCCCAATGGACCACAACAGCCAATACAGCGATATGTTGGGAAAGTTATAACCAACCCTGCATGTTAGAGTTCCTGACAGTGGCGCTGAAAAAGACAGGAACCACCAACAACAGCCAGTTAGTTCTCATTTAGTCGCCAATGATTGTGAAAGAGAGACAGATATAAAAAACAGTAACTGTAACATGCTCCTCAGATGGGCACTAACCTGCTTTCTGGTGCTTGTGACTTCATCGTGACACAACGGGAAAAAAACAAGGACATCTCGTCTACTGGCAATGGGAAAGGATCCTTTCGCCTATTTTTGGCTGTTTGTCCTACATTTAATACAAAAATAATAAAATAGGGTAAAACAGGGTAGAGTGAAAGTAAGAGATTTAGTGTTGGCCGCCCACACAAATGACAGAATATATATCTGAACGGTCTGATGAATAAATAAAATGTGAAAAGGTGTGATCTGTTTTTACCAGAGTTAAACTAGGTGGGTGTTATTCTGCTCGGGTCTGAACTCATGATGTTTCAAGGATCTTACACTGAAATAACTGAAACGTTGACTTTCATTTTCTTTATTATGTCAACAGATTTCACATAACTATATTAGGTTAAAGCTAAAATATTAGGTTGAACCTAATATATTTTATTGAAACTTAATATTATTGCTTTCAACTAACCTTATACAGTTATAATTAAAGTAAACATTTCCGTTTTTTCAGTGTGGATACATATGGACATAACATAAAGGAGTACATGTTTGGCAACACTTCAAAATGAGTCATATTTCAACTGACAAGTAATACAGAGAAGAAGACTGGAGGAAACACACCTTCTCATATCATGTTGTTTCATGAAGGGCGGATGCAGCAGCAGCAGCAGCAGCAGCAGCAGCACACACACACACACACACACACACACACACACACACACACACACACACACACACACACACACACACACACACACACACACACACACACACACACACACACACACACACACACACACTACCTGGCTGACTTCAGGGTGAGGGCAGCACTGCAGTCCGCTGGAATCCCTGGGTAAAGAGGATGCTAATCGTAGCTTCTTGTGCCTGAGCATGTCTTCCTGGGCCAAATGAGATTAGAGTGAGTGGGATATGGCAGAGCGACGTGCGTGGGGTTCTGGAGGTGAAAGGTAAGGCACTTATCAGGAGGTTCCCCTCGGGGTCCTCCACGGCTGACTCAATCAAAACCCTGCACGCACTTCTCCCTGGATTAGACTAATCAGGAAGGAGCAGGGGATGTATGGACCACTTATCTGAAAAAAAACATTGGGCTCTCTTTCCCTTTGAAAATACCCTACAGAAGTGTTTGTTAATTTTATTTATTACAGGATGCTTGTCGATGTGGCAATCTTCCATAGAATCATTAAAAAAGGGCTCTTCCATGCACTGTTTACATGCTGCAGAGATACAGGAGCCTTTGATGTTCCAAATCCCCCCCCCCCCGTTCACTCATTGTCATTATTATTTATTATTTATATTTTTCCTTCATTTATTTTTCACCATTTGTGTTTCTGGTGCCACAACAGATCAGACTGATGGAAAGTAGTCGACGTAACAAAGGCCCTGAAAGGTAAATGAATATTTATTACAGACGACTTCAGAGCCAGACAGGCCGTTAGCAGTCAAAGCAATGGTGAGAAGATAACAGCAATTTTCACACTTATGATTACCTTCAAATTAATCTCCATTTCTTGAAGGGATGTGGGATAGTTGACTAGCATATCTTTAATTTCTCGATTAAAAAAAGTTATTTAAGCGAAGTTTCAGCTACTTGTTTGACAAAATAATCCCAAAACAATTGTAGATTTGAATAGGAGACACACACAGAAGGGCAAATGGACAAAAGTCACAGGTAGGTGAAAGTCTCTCCAACACCTAAAACTGTTCTAGAAGGGACACGTTTTAATGTATCACTATATAGTTTACCTGTTTTTTTTACATGCAGCTTCTCACTACAACATCCCAAATGTGTATTTTAAAGATCTACAATGTAACTTTTGAATGCATAAATAACAAATTCCTACTTCTTAAAAGTTAAATTGTTGGGAAGAAAACCCTCACGTATGTTGAAATCAGTACTATACAGGTTTTTACTTTACTTTACACTGAAAAAACTGAAACATTGATTTTAATCAATTTTATTTATTATTTAATGTATTTATTATGTCAACATTTATGTCAATTATATTACATTTAAATAAGAAATATTAGGTTCAACTTAATATTATTGCTTTCAACTAACCTAATACAGTTATTTGAAGTCTGTTGACATAATACATTTAATTAAAGTAAAAGAAAAATTCAGTGTAGCTGTACCTGCTCTGGTATGACTAGTAGCTAATGATGGGTTAGCTAATGTTAGAAATATGTATATATCAGTGACGTGCGGTGAGGTTCATGGCTGGTGAGGCACTGACTCACTGAGTCAGATTTACAAATATTATATTTTGACCTTAATCAAAATATTCGGTTATTTTCAAAAGCTTTTTTAGTCTGATGCTTCGATTCATTTTAAACAGACCGTTCAACAAAAGGATACCCAAAATCTAAATATTGGATTGTTCTTTCTTAGTAAGATCCCATTTTCATTACAAATGTGGTCTTACCTTGACTTGAAGATGAAGTCCATGCTATCCTTCTGGACAACAATCTCTATTACTTTTTTGTAAAAGTCCTCCTTATCTTCCTGTAGTTTAAAAAGTCTAGTTTGTTGTTACGTCTACCGTCTCTGCGTAGAATTACAGTAGCAACAAGAACCTGTGGGCTCACGTGCGCCCCCTTCAGTGCGGCAGAGGTTATGGCTGCCTCCCCTGGTGCTTTTTTCATTGCCGTTGTATGATGAGACCAGCGAGCCTAAATATCATATATACGTGAAATAAGTTATTTAGAGACTATGGATGGCGAGGATAAATGTAATAAAGGGATCTACAAACATTACATTGGTGACCTACAGTGAGATGGTAACAGGCATGCGCTTAGGGCCCGCTTTCCAGCCAGTTTCTGTGGGGTGACGCATTCTGAGGTGAGGCAGATCTCATCTGTGCCTCACCTACCCCACAGTAACTGGCTTGAGCGCGCTCACAAAATAAGTGGCCGCGCTAAATTAGTGCCCGCGCTCCAGCAAGTTACTGTGGGCTTACGAGAGGCAGAGCACGTCCCTGCCTCACTTCTCATCGCTCCCGTAGCGGAGCTCGGCAAATTTGCTGATTTTGACTATAAAAAGCGATTGGAATCATACATAAATCACACTTACAACACAGATCAGTGGAGACATTTTATTATTATTACTATTTAGTTTTTCTTTAGTTGTTTTTCCGTTACATTGGAGTATGACAGGTGAGGCTCTGCCTCCCCTGCCTCCCCTGACTGCACGTCGCTGGTATATATATACAGGTTTTTGGAGTAACAGATGACATGTATGGGATTATGTTCAGGATACAAAAAAGGTAACTGTATTTCTTTACAGTTACAAAAAAAGGACGTACCGTATTTTCCGAACTATAAGTCGCACCTGAGTATAAGTCGCTCTTATCAAAAAACGTGTCGTTAAGAGTAAAAAAACATATATACAGTAAGTCGCTTCAATGTATAAGTCGCATTTATCCACTGAAGTCTTCATCCTCTGTGTCGCTGTTAAACACTTCCGCCAACTCCGGGGGAAGTGTTTAACAGCGACACAGAGGTTTCGATGAAGCAGCATGTCCTGCTCCGGGCTGTCCTCAGACTCGCCAACAGAATCAGCTCCGATTAGACCTTTCTGAATCCCGACAGGATGGTGTCGGTCGTCACTGAAGCCCATGCTGTGTCCATCCATCCCACAACATCCTGGAAAGTTACGTGGCGCATCCTCCCGGTTGCCGTGACCTTTTTCTTCGTCCGTGGTACGGCCGTTTTCAGTTGTCATGATTTTATACAGTGCCATCTATTGGCCGGAGTTTGAACGCAGTCAGACAAAATTCAATATATAAAAGAAACGCGATTTATAGTCCGGAAAATACGGTAATCAGATTACTGTTACATTTCTAAACTAGTGGATCACTAGCAGGATTACAGTGTTAGTAAAACCTAAAAAGATCATATAGTGTTTGTTGTAAAGGACCAGATGTTCTCTCTTCTCTGTAAGCTGTACTAGGTACTAGCTGTAGGCTAATACTTTAAGTGTGAATATATACACCTACTGCCTGAATCTGCTTCATGGTTTTCACTTTCTTTGGTTCTTTTGTTCTGTTTTTAATTCAGCAGGTGAACCTATATGTTCATAAAAT